AGTGTTGGTACCAGTGTTGGAGTTACAGTGTTGGTGTGACAGTGTTGGTACCAGTGTTGGAGTTACAGTGTTGGTGTGACAGTGTTGGTACCAGTGTTGAGGTGAGAGTGTTTGTACCAGTGTTGGTGTGACAGTGTTGGTACCAGTGTTGGTGTGACAGTGTTGGTGTGACAGTGTTGGTACCAGTGTTGAGGTGAGAGTGTTTGTACCAGTGTTGGTGTGACAGTGTTGGTACCAGTGTTGGTGTGACAGTGTTGGGGTGACAGTGTTGGGGTGACAATGTTGAGGTGACAGTGTCAGTGTTGGGGTGACAGTGTTGGAGTGACACTCTGTGTGATAGTGTTGGGGTGACAGTGTTGGAGTGACAGTGTCAGTGTTGGGGTGTCAGTGTTGGGGTGACATTGTCATTGTTCGGGTATCAGTGTTGGAGTGACAGTGTTGGGGTGACAGTGTTGGTGTGACGGTGTTGGAGTGACACTCTGTGTGATAGTGTTGGGGTGACAGTGTTGGAGTGACAGCGTTGGGTGACAATGCTGGGGTGACAGTGTTGGTGTGACAGTGTTGGGGTGACACTCTGTGTGACAGTGTTGGGGTGAAAGTGTTGGGGTGACACTCTTTGTGTGACAGTGTTGGTGTGACAGTGTTGTGGTGACACTCTGTGTGACAGTGTTGTTTTGACACTCCTTCTACCTGCTGAGCCTACTTTAAGCATGTCTGTCTGTTCTTCCTCTTTCTCTCTTCTTCCTCTTTAATGCTTTATGCCTGGAAGGTTCCAGGTCTTTCCGTGAGATGTTCTGTGTTCTACAGAACGCTTGTATAAGGAACTGTTCCTCTGAAGGTATTTTTGCTTTTACATATGTTGCTGTTGTACCGTAACTTCTGTTCTTTTATTTTGAATTAGTTCTGATTTACTTCCTGTTTCCTGCAGTCCATCCTGAGTCTTGTGACACTTCTTGCTCTCATCTTGTTTCTGGTGGTGGCTGAGTAAAACACCAACTTCATCAGTTTGACTGAACATGTGTGTTTGATGTGCATTATGTGTGCATACATTAATCTGCATGTGTCACAGTGACTGTCTGAATATGGCTAAGTGCCAAAGTAAACTGAAGTCTTGCTTTAACAGTATCATCAAGCCTTTTTCTTCTCCCTGACAGCTTTGTCTGATGACCTGCTGTTAACAGCAGCTGTGTACACATTCTTTATTAAGCATGTCTGCATCTGCTCATTTCATTCATGAAACTAATGAAACTGATGAGAAACAGGTATGGAACACAAAACATACAGTTCAGCTTGTTGGAGTTAACATTTAGTATCTGTTACCTCTGATCTGTAGAGCAATACACTTAGATAAGTGCACATTTTAACATGTGAATTGCTGTAAAAAGGAGATGATGCTCTTGGTCTTTGTAGTCCCAGCTGACAGACAGAAGGATCATGATGTGATTTCATTCTGTAAACCTACTTCCTGTGTGGATTCGAGTAAAAACAGTGGTGTCAGTCACCAAAAGGCAAAGGCTGGGTGAGAATGATTTTACTTGTGTGTTTCCACTGGATGAATGAAACTTTCAGAAAGTAATCACTAAGCGTACAACTGATTCCATTTTACAGTCAGCTTGTTCAGCTTGTTCAAACTAATCAGCTATGCCCAACAGTAAAATACCTACAACCTTGATGCAACCTTAGATCTTAGATTAAACTCTGGTCTGATTTGCATTCCTTCAAGGAATGTTAGGTCTTTACATGGTAAACATTTGGATGTGGTTTCTAGGTCCACATGTGCAAAACTACTTTCCATAATGGTTCCTCCTGTTCCTTCTCTTCCCTTTTGGAGATTCTTATTTGTTCCAATCTGTGTAGTGGCTCTGGTGCCCATTGACGTCCCTGCTGTATATCCTGGTGAGGTGGATCAGTGAGTCGATGTCTCACTAAATGACTACAGTGTGCTGTGCTCCTGCAGTGTCTGTTAACAGAGATACACAACAACATGTGAGTGAGGTGTGGAGCTGGAGGAAAGCTCCTCTGAGTAGATGTGACAAAGATGGATGGAGACGAGTGTGGCCAAGAACAAACTGTGTGCTTTGGGTGAATGGTGAGGCTGAGGTCATGCTTTTATTGGACAGAGAGTCTAGAGTCTGCTTCACACACACACACACACACACACACACACACACACACACACACACACNCACACACACACACACACACACACACACACACACACACACACACACACACACACACACACCATGATGACACTGTGATGCTGTGTTTCTAAACGATAGTCTAATTGATTGATTAATTGATTGATTGATCGGTGGTACATGGAGTGGGGGTTCTGTTTGTGTGTGTTGGAGCTGAACTCTCAGTAGGTACTGATTAAAAAGAAAAAAATAAGTAGGTCCTCTGGATGGGTTCTTCTTTAGTGAAACGTTTCATCTCTCCTCCAAGAGACTTCTTCAGTCTCAGTCAGTCTTCAGTCAGTTTCAGGTGAACTCAGCCTTATAAGCACTGCCTCCACCTGGACAAACAGGYTAGTCAYATGCAAAAGAGGGCCATCGACTAACAATAGGCTTGATTAGTTCTATTGTTCATAGAGGGTCATGTGCCCCATCATCTGACCCGTGTCGTGTTATGTATATGTAGTGAATGCAAGCGGGGGTTAATGGGGCCCCAATGGTACCAACACAAAGAGGGAAAAAGGGACAAAAACAAGTGGACTTTGAACCCCCGCTTGCATTCACTACATACACAGCACAACACGGGTCAGATGATGGGGCACATATGACCCGTTACGAACAATAGAACTAATCAAGCCTATTGTTAGGCGATTGCCCTCTTTTGCATGTGACTAACCTGTTTGTCCATATGGAGGCAGTGCTTATAAGGCTGAGTTCACCTGAAACTCATCAAACTGAAGAAGTCTCTTGGAGGAGAGACAAAATGTTTCACTAAAGAAGAACCATCCAGAGGACCTACTGATTTTTTCCTTTTGATTTTTTCTACCTGGATTACTGAAATGCATCAGGACATAGGTACTGATTAGTGTTTACTCCTCATTCAACCTCTCTGATCTGGAGCTGCTCAGTCAGGTGAATGAAGTTTAGCAGGTTGGCACCAAACCAGGCAATACAAGATTCTATATTTGACGTACATTTATACCATGTGGTCTCGTTAAAAAAAAAAAAACAATACATCCCTACTTTTGCTTTCCACCATTTCAGTTATTTTAGTAACTTGTAGAGTGTTGCTCTGTGATTTTAACAGGTGGGAACAGTGACAGTGTATTTGACGTTGAAAAGGCTGTGGGTACCATCATCATTGCCAAACCTTTGGATGCTGAACAACGCTCCTTCTACAACCTGACAGTTTTGGCCACAGACGGCACTAACACTGCATACACACAGGTACCTGCCTTATCAAAAACACTCTGCTGGGTTTTGACATGTTGTGCTTCTTTCAACACTGTTTTCTGAGTTTATGTGAAATATCAGTATCGTCCTTATTTAAAGTGGAAATCTCTGCAGGTGATTTTAGGAAGCCTAGTGAGAGATTAAGCATCTTCCTCTTTTCTTTTAACCAAATACTACTCAATGAATTTAAATGATGGTGTTACTGTGTGGCATACTGTATCCTACATGATCTATTGCAACTGGTCTTTTCATTGTAAAGAGTTAACTCTTCTGCAGGTCGCCCATAAATAACTGGTTCTGACTCATCGGTTACAAGTGAGCCACATTGTTAAAACAAGGCTCCTCAGACACGTTTACAGCTCTTAGTTTTCTTGAAAGATTTACCACAAGGAGAGCCAGGAGTATTTGTACTTTAGGAGAGGAAACAGAGGAAGAGGAGCAATCTGCTGCACTGCTGCCTTTACAGAAAGAGGACAGTTATAATTCAGCCTCTGTTCCAGTGAGGAGAGAACAACTGTTACCAGGGCCAGTTCTAGGCAAGGTTTCAGCTGGTGCCCCATGTACAGTTTTACCTAAATTCTCAAACCACATTAGTTTTGTCTTTGATAATATTTTTATCTTTAGAAACCAGGTTGTTCAATTAAAATATTTAACAATATAATACATTTAAAGCAAAATACCAGAAGTCTATCTCATACCTGCCATTATCTGATGACATCATGAGGAACACCTGCTCATGTTACCCAGCAGATGTGGACTGAAGCAGTTCTAGGGGGATCCTGGGGTTTACTCCTCCAGAAAATTTTGAGTAGACTCTGCATTTTCCAGCCATTTGAAGAGCATGTTACTAAATTCTTGGGATTTATAAAACAAGATAAAAATCCATATTTTTAAATGGCAGAACACTGAAAACCTTAACTTTATCTGAGATTAGAACTAAAACTTCCATTTGGCTTATTTTATTTTCCATTTCCACACTGAGCAACAGTAGTTACCGGTAGTTCTGACTGCATCATGCGACAAACAGCAGTAGCTTTTAGCCAGGGACCCTCATGTAAACCCACAAACAATACCACAAAATACATAAAGAAACAGCAACTTTTAGAATGTTTTATTCACTATTCAATATTTATTAAATTTGTTTAGCATAATAATTTTATTGACTAACATGTTGGCTGTTGACTAACTGTTGATGGTAAGAACAGAATAACATTCTTTTAAATAACATTACTATAAATTATACTGTATTTTTTAAATAATGGATGAAAACAGATTTGAGTGTCTATGATAATGATTTAAAACTTTAATACATTGATTTTCATCATTTTTGCATTTTTTTCTTATTATTATCTCCATTTTATGAGTGTACACAAAGGGGTGCCACAGGGTTCAATCTTGGGTCCCCTCCTGTTCATTACGTACATTAATGAATTAGGACAAAATATGTCAGATGCAAATAAAGGAAATAAATAAAAATAAATTAATACATAGATTTTCATCATTTTTGCATTTTTTTCTTCTTTTTCCCCAAACCAAGGCATTATGAGTCATTCTGTGTCATGCCTCTGGCTGGCAGTGTCTCGTAAGAATGCCTCATGTTATCACTGGAATATATTCTGGTGAACTCTGAGACTAATTTGTGCTTTAGACTTTAGCTTCTGCTAAGTTTCCATGGGCAATGTGTTATTGAACTTGTGGACTTAAATAATTTTACCAGCGCTTTAGAGTTTGCGCAGCTGTCTTTTGAATTACCCACCTCTGTTGGTTGATGTGAGTAGGAACACAGCACGTGGCTGTGTGACAGGTTTAACACGTGCTGGAAATCTGAAGTAAACATAATACAGGTCCTTCTCAAAAAATTAGCATATTGTGATGAAGTTCATTGTTTTCTGTAATGTACTGATAAACATTAAACTTTCATATATTTTAGATTCATTGCACACCAACTGAAGTAGTTCAAGCCTTTTATTGTTTTAATATTGATGATTTTGGCAAAAAAGTAAAGAAAAAACAAAAATCCCTATCTCAAAAAATTAGCATATCATGAAAAGATTCTCTAAACAACTTATTAACCAAATCATCTGAATCAACAAATTAACTCTAAACACCTGCAAAATGTTCCTGAGGCTTTTAAAAACTCCCAGCCTGGTTCATTACTCAAAACCACAATCATG